CTATAATAAGTTAAGGATGCATATTATAATCTCTAGTATAACCTCTAAAAGAATAGTAATACTATGTATAACTACCAAGTTAATAGAATGTAAAACTATCAAGAAGACAATGATTTTTTAAAAAATCAATCCAAAAGAAGGCAGGAAAGGTGAGAAAAAGAAACATGGAATAGGTGGAAAAACATAGAAGAAAATTAGTAAGATGTTAGATTTAAGCTTAAATATACCAGAAATTGCAGTAAATGAAAAAATAATCCTAACTGCTTTATTTTTAGAAATTTGCATATGAAGTTCTGTACCCTCATTTTTAACATCTGCCCCACACTCCATGGAGTGTCATACATGTTATTTACTTAACCTATCCTTGCTGGTGGACATAAGGTTGTTTCTAGTCTCTCCCCTGAGCAACCTTCACCAAAGGATCCAGTCAGGTCTTTAAGATGAGTACCTAGAGGTCTGTTTCTAACCCAAAGGTAGCAGTTTAAACACTGATGCACACCACCAGATTGCACTTAAAAGGTGGGATACAAAAAAGCGCTAGTTTTTTTTCAGTAACTATGGGGATTATCATTGGTCTTTATGTAAGAGATATATTTCATTTCATTTATTTATTTAAACTAAAAAAAAAAAAAAAGAGTCCAACATCCGCCAAGAAGAAAGGAGTCCAATAAACACCCCAGGTTCTCAAATGATACTCTTAGAAGACATCACCCTAGGAAAGAGTGTGATATACAGGTAGCACGACTCCTGTTAAACCAGCCCACTACTTCAGATCCCCCATCCCTCCTGGGATCCAGGGGTGGAGCACATGACCTAGAATAAGCCAACGGGTGCATGTCTCCCATCCTCTCAATTACAAGTGCCGGAGTCCATTCATTGTCTTCACTAGCTGAGTTTAGACAGAGACCCCCCCAAAAGCTAGTAGCCATTGAAAGTCCTAGTAAAAGTCAGGGCTTGAAAGTCCTAGCAAAGGTCAGGGCTGTGCACCACCCAGTTAATCTAGGAACCACTCAGTTAATTTAGGTAATAATAGTTGAAGCATCCCCACCTTAGTTCCCTTAATTCCTTAGATACTTATGTAGATCCTTGTTGATTATTGTTAATCAGATACTACCGGAAATCTATTGATGAGTTAATCAGATACTTTTGTCTACTCCTGGAAATTGTCTGCTGATCTGTGTGTCATTGAAACTTCCTTACCCTAAGGGCTACTCCAGATCAATAAAAGATTGGAGCAGCCTGAGCATGGGTGGAAGTCCTTCGGGACTTGCCCGCCTGGTCCTCCAATATTGCAAAATTATCTCGTGTCTTTTTCTCTCATTTGCTGTGCGGCTCCTCTTTCAGGTACCTAACCCCACTCCACGCAGAACGTGGAGGGAGTGTTACTCGACAACAAGGACTGATTCAACAGTGTGCACAATGTCCTAGTAAGGTTAATCAAGGCCAGCAAGACTTAATTCTGGGACTTCTGTTTGAACTATCAGTTAAGTGTGCTTCTTTTCTCTCTCATGCTAGATTTGGTATGCTGATGAGCCTGAAGCTGCCAAGGCCTACCATACAGAACCTAAAGAATGTAGCAAAAATTGTGGAGAGACAGAAAAGAAACAGTACAATCTAAGATCTGACATCATTTGTATCCTGAAGCTGGATGGGTATGAAGGCCAATTTCGCCACTAGATGTATTAAAAATTACATACTGTAACAAGTGCAGTTGTTTTCTCAAGGACTCCTGACTGCTATTTTGGCAGACTCTCTGCATGCAGTTTAGGGGTCAGTCAGGGATTTGGCAGAGTTTATACTCGAATTATAGACCCCATCCCTTGGGTGAGTCTCCTGCTTTAGTGTACAACCTCTCCCTCACTGCCCAATTTCCAGTTTCTCCTCTTCCAACAACCCTGGATGTAGTTTGCTACCACCTTAAGCCAGTAAGACTGCAGCGTTTCACTCCTGGATTTGAAGGGGTGAGTGATACTGTCAGGCAAAAATCCACAAACTCATAATTATTCCCAGTTGCTGAGTAAATTTTCTTGTGGTTTCTGCCTGCTTTTGTTCTTTTTCAGATCTTTAAAAAGTTATTTTCATTATATTTTGCTTACTTTTCCTAGTTACTAACTGCAAGTAGGTCTCCATTGCCTCCTTACAAGGACATAGAGGTATTCTTGTAAATTAGTTTGCAACATTAATTATAAGATTTTTCTAAGATATTTATGCTTTTTAAATTAGGTTATCTCAACCCACTTTGTAGACTGTAACTTGTATAGAAAGACTTCCTTTTTGTTGTTCTTTTTTTTTTCTTGCTCATTTTTCTCTTTTGAAGATGAAAGAAGGGTTGGCAAACATTTTCTTAACCTATAGTAAATATTTTAGGCTTGTGGGCCATATGGTTACTGTTGTGACTACTCCACTCTTACATTCTGTTGTGAAGCAGCCATAGACAATATGCAAATAAAAAGGCATGATTGTGTTCCAATAAAACTTTATTTACAAAAGCAAGTGCAGATCTGCCAACTGTACTTTGTCGATTCCCAAATTAAGATATCTTTTTTTTAAAATATATTTTATTGATTTTCCACAGAGAGGAAGGGAGAGAGATAGAGAGCCAGAAACAGCGATGAGAGAGAAACATCGATCAGCTGCCTCCTGCACATCTCCCACTGGGGATGTGCCCGCAACCCAGGTACATGCCCTTGACCGGAATCGAACCCGGGACCCTTCAGTCTGCAAGCCGACGCTCTATCCACTGAGCCAAACCGGTTTCGGCCCAAATTAAGATATCTTAATAATTTCCCTTACCAGACAACTGAGCTCTTTAAAGGATTTTAGTCACTGTGATATATCGACCAGGAGAGGTCCTGATTAAATACTGGTTGAAGAAATTAACATTTTCTCATGCCTCTATTCATTTATTTTACTTCTTTAAATAGCTATCTGTTATAGTATTTCATAGTATGGATGATTAAACTCTTTGTAATTATTCCCTGTTGATGGACATTTAGATCTTTTCCCATTAGTATGTATTACAAATCAGGCAGTAATGAACCTTGTTATTACTGGAGAGTGACTGGGTAACATTCTTTTTTGCCGGCTTGGCTCAGTGGATAGAGCGTCGGCCTGCGGACTCAAGGGTCCTGGGTTTGATTCCCGTCCAGGGCACATCCCCAGTGGGGAGTGTGCAGGAGGCAGCTGATCGATCTTTCTCTCTTATCGATGTTTCTAACTCTCTATCCCTCTCCCTTCCTCTTTGTAAAAAATCAGTAAAATATATTTAAAAAAAATACACCTAGCCTGGCCGGTGGCTCCGTGGATGAGCCTCAACGTCTGGGCACATGTGGGCTCAATCCACAGTAGGGGGCGTGCGGGAGGCAGCCGATTAACTCTCTATCCCTCTGGTGTTTCTCTCTCTCTCCTCTCTCTCTCTCTCCCCCTCCTTCCTCTCTGAAAACAAAAAACAAAACAACACACGCGCTTAAACAGCGCTTTCTCCACCTTCCACCCTCCACCTTTTGGAGAGGAGGGTGTGGAGAGCGGGCGAATGCAATGCAGGCAGAAGAGTGAAATTCCTCGCCCTGGTGTTGGTAAAGTACCTCCGCCTCTCGCACAGTTTTCTCTCGAGAGTAATCGCACAGAACGTGCAGGAAGAAAGCTGGAAGCTCTCTGAGGGCGGCGACAGGGAGGGGGTCGGAAATACCGGCTTCTTGGAAGAAGCGCCTGGACCGCGACGTCCGAGGGGACCAAGCTTCCTGGGAAGCCCATACCCATCAATTTTGCTTTATAGGTTAGACTGCGGGAACAACTCCCCAGGTATTAAACATTGCCGGCACACAGCAGGGCGAAATTGAGGGTGCCGGTGCGGCAGGAGACGAGAAGTAAACGGTGGCGAGGCCCACGTAAAAACAGCAGCCGGCGAGCAC